TAATAAAAAGATATATAAATTTATTCTTATATATATTTTTGTAAATATATGACCAATTAATTTTTACTTTTTCAACTTAATTGGCTAACCCAACCCAACTTAATTAATTGCTTAACCGAATTCCTTTTTTGGTTTTAGTCTTCCCAAACCCAATTCATGAACGCAACTCAACTTAAACATGTATGGCATTTCATGTATTTTGTTTTTTTTTTTGTGAACTTGTTACTAATTCTGCTGGACATGTATGACAATATATATTTGCTGTAATTGGTTACTGCATATTGTTTTGTTGCACTATATGTTAATGTATTTACTTGTTTGAGTTATTTTAATTTTTTATTTTTTATTTATAAAAAAAAATTCTATACATTTAATATTTAGTAAAAACTTCCTATATCCACTGGGCCCATGAATATGGAGACAAGGTCTTTTTTTATTCTCGCAAAAAATCTTTGTAGAAATCTCCATACCCACCATCAATCATGGGGATGGGGAGAGGATCCCGCCCCTATGGGACTCATTGCCATTCCTACCCCAATGTAACAAAATGCCTACAACTACTTGATGTTCGGCTTCCATTTAACTGGTCATTTTCCTAAAACGGACGCGGGTGTCTCTCTCTCCTCATTGTGCTACATTTCAAAGATTTCTCCCTATTTTTTTAGTACATTATTTCCACATACCGTTCAAAATTTACTACTGGTTTTTACAGGGAACGTCCAACGGAGTTGTATATCCTTTGTATTTCACTATTTGCTTAGCCTAAAGGCATTATGAAGTCGAAAAGGTCAATTCCATTCCAATTCAATTCCCTCAATCAATTCACTCCTAGGTTTTCGCCCAAATTTTTTGTTATATTCCTAGGTTTCCTTCCCCTTGCTTTCTGTATCTACAGTAGATGGAGCCTCTTGCCTTTACAGCCTATATACATATATATATATATATAGTTTTTATGTCAAGAGGTTGTTGGGTTGTGCAGCACTGACTGGCTTGCTTGAGGTAGAGAATATTGTTCCAGACAGCATTATTTAGCACAAGAAAACGACAACAGTACAAAGCAAAGTGAGGAAACAGAATAGGGGCGCACAAAGCAACTCCAAAAGTGTAAAATTAAACCACACTCACTGAGAAAGTTTCACACCTCTAGAGTACACAACAGCAACACACTTTTTGCTTATTCATAGCTAAGTATGTTTAACGATTTAGACATGTAGCTTAGAGCTATACTAGCTAGTAGTTACCCCGGTTACGTTGAAGATTGCTCTTGATAAGAGGCAACTCCCTAAGAATAATACTTATGAGCATATGATCTTGAGGCGACTCCATGGAACTTGCCACACCGATCTTGATCATTGAGACTAGGCAATCCATTGTGATGTTAAATCGTGACTTGTGTTTATTACTCTATTCACAATGATTGCTTCATCTTCTTATACCAGCTTAGGGTCTACAATCTCCACAATCTGATTAGGCGAGGCCATTCTTGCATTGTTATGAAGATTCAATCCTGCTTCAAAGAGACTATCAATGGGCTTCTTTCCCATCATCATCTCAAGCACTAGGATTCCATAACTGTATATATCCCCATGTATTGATACCTCACTTCCCATGCCATACTTCTGTCAAGCATATGTGGAAGTCTACGATTGGATGGAATGAATGGTAGATACGAGATAGTTTGTTCGGGTTGTGGTTTAGCTAGCTTTTTAAAACTCCCTGCAAAGTCTTTTATTATGCTTTATTGTTTTTAGTTTTCACAGAGTATCCTATGTTGTTCTTGTCATTTCATTGGGTAATCCCATTTTTTAGTCACGTAACTCACGCTCTTTCAGGGAATCAACATCAAAGAAATCAAGAGCCATCCATGGTTTTTGAAGAACTTGCCAAGGGAACTGACTAAGGCAACTCAAGCTATTTACCATAGGGAAGACAACCCAACTTTTTCTGTCCAAAGCAATGAAGAAATCTTAAAAATAGTTGAAGAGGCCAAAGTTCCTGCTCCAGTATCTCGCTCTAATGGAGGCTTTAGTTGGGGAAGACAAGAAGATGGGGATGCCAAGGAAGGAGAGAGATAGAGGAGGAAGAAGATGAGTATGAGAAGAGAGTTAAGGAGGCTCATGCTAGTGGAGAAATTAGGCTCACTTGATCAATACATTCTTGATTCTTTCCAAATAATTAAGATCTGGAGTTTTGTTTCAGTGCTTGTATAAAGTCAGTTTCTATCTAGGACATCGTGTTGAATAAATATTTGTAAATATATAGTATATTGGCGTGGGAAAATTTTAGGGTGGTGTTACTGGTCTTAGAACTATTATGATTCCAAACTGCCTCTGAAAGTCAAGTTGATAGTTTTCTTTTCGGGATTTAGGATTAGCATAATGTATTAGGGGTTTCTTATTGTCTAGAGAACTAGAAAGATACCACCTTTAATGGTAATTCCAAGATAGTTTTTTTTTTGGGGCGGTTTGAATGGTTTTATAAAAACAAAGTTAATAGCATTTTATTACTCATGCATTTTTGTTTCTATTGAGTTAAGACAGCAATATATTGCACGAGAAAACCTCAACAGTACAAACCAAGTGAGGAACTAGAACAAGAGTGCAGAAAACAGCCCCAAAAGCGTAAAATTAGACCACACTAAGAAAGCTTCACACCGCTTGACTACATAGTAACACACTTTCTACTTATTCAAACCTAAGTCTGCTTTAAGATTTAGATATGTAGCTTAGAGCTATACTAGTTGTTACCCCAGCTGCGTTGAAGATTATCCTTGATAAGATGCAGCTCCTTGAGAACTGTACTCGTGAGCATACGATCTTGAGGTGATTCCATGGAACATGCCACACCAATCCTAATCATTGAGACTAGGCAATCCATTATTATGTTAAGTCGAGAGCTTTGTCTATTAACAATGGTTGCTTCAGCCTCTTGTACGAGCTTTGGGTCCACAATCTCCACAATTTGATCAGGTGAGGTCATTCTTGCATAATGATGAAGATTAAATCCTCCTTCAAAAAGATTGTCAGTGGGCTTCTTTCCTGTCATCATCTCCAGCACCAAGATCCCATAACTGTATATATCGCCATGTATTGATACCTCACTTCCCATGCCATACTCTGCAATTCACAAAAGATTAAATTCCCAACAAAAAAGTTAATAATTATAAATGAATGTTATGTGGAGTCATGTGACATAAGAAAGAACACAATTTTAAAAGCATTATAATCGTTCGTCACCTGGAGCGGCGTACCCAATTGTTCCCCTTACTCCAACTGTGCTACTTTGGTTTGAAATTTTGGATTCTGATGAAATAAACTTTGCAAGCCCAAAATCCCCAACATGAGCAGTCATGTCGTTGTCTAAAAGAACATTGCTTGGCTTTAGATCACAATGAACAATTGGCTTCCCACAATGGTAATGGAGATAGTTAAGAGCAGAGGCAACATCAATGGCAATGCTTATCCTCTGTAATAAGCTTAGACTCTGGACTCTACTTTGGGCATTGTTTGTTTCCTGAGCAGATGCATGCAACCAATTATCCAGGCTTCCATTAGGCATCAACTCATAAACTAGAGCCTTGAAATCATTTCCCTGAAAGTCGATGCTTGAGCAAGAAGTTATGATCTTTAAAAGGTTTTGATGACGAATGTTCTTCAAGGCTTCACACTCTGCCATAAAACTCTTGGAAGCTCCTCGATACAAAAGATCAAGTACTTTGACTGCAACATGTGATCCATCTTCTTCAAGAACTCCTTTGTAGACAGAACCTAAGCTCCCCTTACCAAGTAAATTTGTTGAAGAAAACCCATCTGTCGCTTTAAGGAGGCTTTGGTAAGAAAGTTGCAGTAAAGGCTCTTTCAAGGAGAATCTAGAAGATCGATCTCTGTTTTTTCTTTTAGTCCAACATAGCAAGAAGATGGATATAATAATTACTCCCAGAAGTGAGAAAACTATAATTATTATATGCACATGCGATAGTTTAGCTTTCTTTGTTGCTTTGATGCTACATTTAGGCAAGCCAAGTTCAGCAATTCCTCCACAAAGGTTATTATTTCCTTCAACAAATACTACACTTGCATTTCTGAAGATGCCTTTTGTTGGCAACTCTCCTTCAAAGTTATTGAAAGACAAATTCAGATACTCCAATGCTAGATTTTCCATGTATTGAGGGATCTTACCTGTTAAGTTGTTGACAGAAAGATCAAGTTCCCGAATTCCTCTTAAAGAGCTTAAACATTCAGGAATGCTACCTTGAAAGTGGTTTCTATCAAGGTAAAGGAACTCTAGACTGGTGCAGCCAATAAGGGTATTTGGGATTTCTCCTGACAACATGTTGTCAGATACATCCAATTCATCTAGGTTTCCCAACTGACCAACTTCTAAAGGTAGAGATCCAATCAAATGATTATGAAAAAGATCTAGTGTGATACTCAATGTAGAAATGTTGAAAAGTTCTTTCGGTATCGAGCCATTAAGGTCGTTTTGACTAAGATACAATGCCTCAATGTTTGGGCAGTTCCCAAGGCTTGAAGGTATGCTTCCACTTAACTGGTTTTGTTCTAGACCAAGCTTACTCAACAGTGTTAAGTTTCCAAAAGATTCTGTAATTTCTCCTGAAAGTTTATTGCTGCCAAGAGCTATAGTATCAAGTTTTTCAAGTTGACCGATCTCTCTTGGAATTTTGCCAGTAAACTGATTATCATACAATGCCAATATACGTAAACCAACAAGATTGCCTAACCCTGGAGGGATGTCTCCAAATAGGTTATTCTGTTGAAAGTGAAGCTCTATTAGTTGAATTGATAGATTGGCTACAGATTTTGGCAATCTTCCTTGAAATTGATTTGTAGCAAGCACTAAATATTGCAATTTGCTACAGTTGACCAAAGAAGTTAAAATTTTCATTTCATCAATGTCTCCGCTTCCTAGATGATTATCATTTAAAGCTAGCCATTGCAAATGTTGTAGGAGCCCAAAAGGAACTTTTAGCTTTCCAGAGAAATTATTTGATGGCATTTCTAGACTTTCAAGTTTTGAAGCATTGGATAATGTTATTGGAATCCGCCCACTAAAATTGTTTCTCCCCACATTAATCTGTTCTAGATTAGGAAGGGTGAGTCCCATATCCCATGGAAGATTTCCTTCAAGTTGATTGGTAGATACGGAGAAAATAGAAATCATGGAAAGGTTATAGATTGATGGAGGGATCTTACCAAAAAGATTATTTCCTCCGAGTCCGAGAACCCACAAGCTTCTTAATTGGCCTAAGGTATCTGGAATGTTGCCTCCAAAATCATTATCAGCTGTGGATAAGACCACCAAAGAGGTAAGATTCCCAATGAAAGGTGGGATTCCTCCAGTAAAATGATTGAAGTGAATGGAAAGTTGTATGAGCTTGGACATGGAAGCAAGCTCCATTGGAAGTTTTCCCACTAACTTATTTTTACCAATATTGAGGACATTGAGGTTGGAGCAACGAGATAGGTTTGGTGGGAGCTTTCCCTCAAAAGAATTATTATTGAGATTGAGGACCTGTAACCTGAATAGGTGACCAATTTCGGGTGGGATATCACCCTGAAAGCTGTTGTTTAAAAGTCTAATCTCCCGAAGGAAACTCAAGTTTCCAATGAAAGGAGACAAAGAACCCACCAAGTCCCTAGATGATAGATCCAAGATGGTGACTCTATCCCTTCTATGACTGCAGGTGATGCCTTCCCATCTGCAGAAATGGATAGAATCATTCCAGGACTTCAAAATCCCATGAGGATCATTTGAAATCTTGGACTTGAAAGCCATTAAGGCCATATGATCGGTTGTATTTCCAGGAAAAGAAGTGGTATCTATGAGAGTTTGGAAAGTGAAAATATGGAGTAGCAAGAGCAGCATGGCTTTGGAAGAAATTGTGTGGTAGGACATTGTATGACTGAATGGTGCAAAGACGCAAATCTTTGGGAGTTTTGGAATTTAGCACAAGTAGCCAAAAATTTCTGACCGGGAATGAAATCAACTTGTGTTTTAGCAAAGACAACTCTGGCATGGATAAGGAGATGTAGTCATATTTATATAACAAATGGAGGAGAGTAATTTTGCTTACCATAACCTTAACTCACCACTAATTCAAGAAATGAATGGTATAGACAAAATACAGTAAAAATCATCATATCTAATCCATGATTGTCTGCAAATTCAGGGAATCAACATCAGAATTCTTATGTTTGCCTGTAGTAACCACAATTAGCAGAATTCACAATCTTTACTTTAGAAAGGCACTAGTTCTTAGTGTTGGACATTGACTTGACTTGCTCCTATCCCACTGGGAGGATTAATCACCTTATTTGTCAAATTCAATTAAAGCCATAATCTCTAATATTGCATATTATTGACCATGATCCATAATGCAAATTTTGGTAGAGAAAAATGCTGCAGAAAATAATAATTTATGGTTGCCACCACGTAGAAGAAATTAGCCCTAGTAATATTTCAAAGTAAATCATCATCTTTACTCCATGCTTGATTAATGTGATTTGCTATGATACATTAGTGTGATGGGGGAATCAGATTGGAGTTGGTTACCACTATGTAGGAGAAAATACAACTAGTAATATCTCAAGGTAAATCATCATCTTTACTTCTTCATTGTTGATTAATGTAAATCGTTGTGATATATGTAGTATGGTAGGACTAGGAGATCCATTTGTAGCTGTTTGCCACTAAGTAGGAGAAAAGACAACTGGTAATATTTCAAATGTAAATCATTATCTCCACTTCATGCTTGATTAATGCAATGCATTATGTTATATTATTAGTGCGGTAGGACTAGGAGATCTATTTGTAGTTGCTTGCCACTAAATAAGAGAAATTACTACTTGGAAGACTTCAATTCGCTATGATAGGTTGTGTGGAAGGAGAATCCATTTCGAGTTTTCTCCCAGCAACTAGGATATGGGAGTGTAATGACCTAGTCTACTATTGATATTATTTGTTTTAATCTTTTAAAATGCATCAATAAAAGATAATGGATATTAACTTAAATATCGAGTATCTCTCACGTGTTTTGTCAGTATAAAATTTGACTAGGAGTATCATAGAAAAAATAACCATTGCTAAAATTCCACTTAGTAAAACCATCATCTATAATTCATGCTTGATTAGTATAATTAATTGACTATCATACATTAGTGCTTTATTTGGAAATTAGGTAACCTGTAATATAGAATTTTAGTTAACATAAAAAGTTCTGCTTGAATAGCACTTCTATCTAAACTCTATTTAAACAATTATTTTAAAAAAGCTACAATTAGATCAAGTAAGCTCTGATTCTTTCAATAATGTAATTCATGTATCAATTCATTTTACAA